AGGGCCCTCCCAGCCCTGACGTCCTGTGTTCTGAGGGCCCTCCCAGCTCTGATGTCCTGTGTTCTGAGGGCCCTCCCAGCTCTTCTGGGTTCTAAGGCCCCTCCAGCTTAATAATTCCTCTGTATTGTCTCTTTTTCCAGTAGTTCAAGCCTGACAAAGTATATGACACACTCTCCCTAAGAAAACTGCAGCAAAGCCACCTGCAGTCAAGAAGGTCTTGAGCCTTCAGATAGGTTCACAAGACCTAGAGCCAGATGAGATCTTAGCTATTGTCTAATCCAACTACCTCATTTTATAGTGGAGGGAACTGAAGCCCAGGCAGGAGACTTGCCCAGGATCCCAGAGGGTGGTTAGTAACAGAGCCAGGAGCAGAAGCCATATCTCCTGACTGAGCTCAAGGGTCTGTCTACTAGACCACGCAGTGTCCTCTCTGTCCACATCAGTGGTTCTCTCTTAGTGGTTATGCATTCTTCATACTCACAATGCGCCACTCCAAAGAGAGCATTCTTCTTTTGCTTGACCCAGAACATTGCCAGGTTCTTTGCATCTTCTTTAATTAAGGGTACTCTGGTGAGTTGGGAAAGGTTTTGTGTTCACTCGGGATGGGCTCCTGACTCTCCCTCTGTCCCATCCCACAGACATCTGTGCCTTCTGCCACAAGGTAGTGTCCCCCCGAGAGCTGGCTGTGGAGGCCATGAAGAGACAGTACCACGCCCAGTGTTTCACGTGCCGGGCCTGCCACCGACAATTGGCAGGCCAGCGCTTCTACCAGAAGGATGGACGGCCCCTCTGTGAGTCCTGTTATCAAGTAAGTATCCCTGGTCAACCCTCGGGAAGGGCTGCTGCAGAAAGGAGGAAGGAGAAAAAACGCAGAGGACTCATGGGATCATCAATTTAAAACTGGAAGGCATCTTCAAGGCCACTCTAAGAATCCCACCCCCTCATTTTACAGATGAGGAAACTGAGGTCCAGAGAAGTTAAGTAGGAGGGGCCAGTCCAACCCAGGTCCTTTGGCTTTGATTCCAACATTCTTGCCCTTGCACCATGACAGGCTGGAGGATGGGGGGGGGGGGTTAATGAGGGAGGGGGGGGGGGTTACAATTCCAGAGGAGCTCAAGGTGGGAGAGCCAGGAAGGGCCTGGAGCAGCCCTGAGAGGAGACCCATTTCGAAGGAATTTCAGTCTGTGTTGGCCCAAAGTGTGTTCCCTGCACCTGGAGGCCTTCCAGAAGAGGCTGCAGGACCACTTGTCAGAGGTGTTATAGACAAGGATTCCTGCTGCACACTCGGGGTTTGATTGGGTGGCTGCTCATGTAGCATCCCAATTGGAAAAGCTCTGATTCTTTAGAAAAGCAGAAAGGCCAAAATCAAATAAGTAAGTGGAAGGAAGGAAGGAAGGAAGAAATAAAAGGAGGAAGGAAGGAGGAAATGAAGGGAAGGGAGGAAGAGGGAGGAAGAAAGAGGGAGGGAGAAAGAAAGAAAAGACAGGAAGGGAAGGGGGAACAGAGGGAGAACAGAAGAGAGAAGAAAAGAAAGAGAGAGGGAAAGAAAGAAAGAGAAAGAAAGGAGAGAGAGAGATTGAGCGATTTGGGTTCTTTGCCTTCACTAAAACCTCCAGAGAAGATTCAGTCCTTTCCCTTGGTCCCTTCCACCATACTTTGGTGGATACCATATTGGATTTGTAGTCAGGAAGACCTGAGTTCAAATCTTTCCTCAGCCCCTTACTAGCTATGTAACCATGGGAAAATGACTTAACCTCTTTCAGCCTCAGTTTCCTCCTCTATAAGATGGATTTAATAATAGCACCTCCTTTGCAGGGTTGTTATGACAAATGATTTGACATTTGTAAAGTGCTTTGTAAAGCCTGGGTGTGGTCTGTAATGGCTTGATGAGAAGAATGGAAAGAGAGGGGGAAGAAGGAGACACTCAGGGGAGAGGGAAGGAAAAGAAAGATTAGGGGAAATGACCTCATAATTATGTTGCACTAGTAGATACCTTCACATACAAAGAGGAAAGAATGGGAGGGACAGCCGACATATCCTTCCTCTCAGCTGAACTGGTTAAAGGAAGGAAGAACACACACACACACACACACACACACATTCACAGAAATATACATACACTCACTCACACACATACACACACAATCACACATTCACACACACACATATACATACACATCCACACAAATATACACACACTCACACACTTACACACATACATACACACATGCACAATTGCACAATCACACATACACACATACACATACAATCACACACACTCACACATATACATACATATATACACACATTCACACACACTCACACACATATACATACACACACATTCACAGAACTATACACACACATACATACAATCACACACATACGCTTGCACAATCACACATGCACACACTCACACACATACACACAATCACACACATCACACATACCACACATACACACACACACACACACACACATACACGGTTGGGTAATACATTTCATTCAGAAACATTTCATTCCACAGAAAAATAAGAGGGAAAGGGAAAAAATGGGGAGGGGAATCAGAGGGAGGGTAGACCAAGGGAGGGATTAGTCCTAAGCAAAACAAACTAAGAATGCACAAAATGTATTTACAGCTCTTTTGAGGCAGCAAAGAATGGGAATTTGAGAGGGTGCCTATCAGTTGGGAAATGGCTGAAGAAGTTATGGTTTATAAATATGATGGAATAATATTGTTCTGTGAAGGAATAATGAAGGGGAGGGTTTCAGAGAAACCTGGGAAGACTTGTATAAATGGATGCAGGGTGAAATGAGCAGAACCAGGAGCACAGCTTGGACAACAGCAATATAGTAAAGGCAAACAACTCTGAAAGACTTAGGAAGACTTAGGATCAATATAATAACCCACCGCAATTCCAGAGAACTAATGATAAAACATGCTACTTACCTCCTGATAGACTCAGAATGCACAATGTTATGTTTTTTCTAGGCAAGCTCAATGTGGAAATTTGTTTGGATTGACTATACATGTTTGTAATTGCAATGGGGTTTGTTTTTCTTTAGTTCTCAAGTGGGGGCAGGGGGGCAGGGATTGGGTGGAAAAGTGAAAAGGCAGATTTTTGCTGATTAAAAAAAAAGTGCCTTGTAAATCTTAAAGTACTAACTATATAAATGTAAGCTATTATTATGATATTTGTCTTTTTTGTAGAAAATAAAATTTTGTAATAATCTCACCCCTCCTTTTCAGCATCCAGAGAGTCCCCAAGGTTAAGCCCAAGATAGTAGCATGGTAGAAAGAGGACAGTATTTGTAGTCATAGAGCCTGGGTCTTTTTCTGGATCTCAGTTTCTATATCTGTAAAATGATAGGATCAGTCAAAGTCCCTTACAATTCTAAATCTAATGATGTCCAGAGTTCTCTTCTCCTGCTTTCTGTCTTTTCAGGGGCAGCCCCCAGTGGGCAGCCCCTTCTTCAGCTATGGCCCTCTTCCCCCAGAACACTCTAGAGAAGTGTGGCCGGTGCCAGGCTGTGGTCCTAGATCATGTCATCCGAGCTCTGGGCCAGACCTTTCACCCAGACTGCTTCACCTGCGTGGTGTGCTCCAGGCGCATTGGGGATGAGAGCTTTGCCTTGGATGAGCAGAAAGAAGTCTACTGTTTGGATGACTTCTACAGGTACAGTTCCATTGGGAGCTGGGGTGGTGGGAGGAGGCCCACTAGAATGAGAAAAAAATGGATGGAACCATAGAACAGAAGCTGGGGTGGGGGGCATGGGGAGGCAGGGAGGGAGACGGCATGGCCACTGGCTTCAAGTATTTGAAGGACTGTCATTCCACTGGTCTCCCAGGACAAAACAAGGAACGTGGAAAGGAAGCTATACAAACACTCAAATGAATTCATGATCTCACTGATTTAGAAGTTTTCTCCTGGGGCAGAGATCACAGCCTATCCTCACCTGCCCATCCGGGATGACTCTTGCCCGTGTCTTCCCGTAAGTTTCCCATAGGGGCCCCTCCCAATGTTCTTTGGAACCTTCTTTGATTTCTGCTGAATACCAGTAGAGCCCTAGGGCTATCTCTGTTTTCCCTTCATCTCACCATGTGAGATCATTTTTTCTTAAGTTAAAAAAATTTATTATGAATATGTTTTTAAAGATTGGGTCTCCCTATCTCACCCAGCACCTCACAACCCATTCCTACTGTTGATTAGCACAGGAGCATTGGCTGTGTATTTCTGACAACATTCAATTTCCTTCTGTTGTGCTTTTCATTTACATCGTTGTAATCATCATGTTCATTTTTCCCCCTGGTTCTGCTGACTTCATTTTGCGTCAGCCTCCCCAAGCTCCTCTGTATTCCTCACATGTACTGTGGTTTGTTTTTATTTTTTTTTTAACATAGTAATAGTATTTCTTTCCATTCTTGTACCACAACTTGATAAGCAATTCCCCAATCAACGGCCACCCTCTCTAACTAGGATGGGGTTCTAACCAGAAGTCAGATGGAATTGGGGCTATTAGTCAAGAGCTCACCTTTCTTGTCTTCACCACCTTTCCCTCAGTGCTGCCCCACGTTGAATACTCTCTTGGTCTCCCAGCCTAGCGTTTGTACCTTCCTTAAGGGGATTCTGGAGATACATATAGTTTGACCCCGGCTGAAGCCTCCTGTTGTTACCTGACTCACAGGATCATCATCACAAAGAACTGAGGCCCAGAGAACTTAGCTTGCCCAGATTATAAACATCTGAGCCAAGATTCTAACCTAGGTCATCCGGCCCCAAATCCACTGCTCTTTCTGCTGATTCTGAGTCCGAATGGCAAAGACAGAACCTTAGAGATCACCTAGTCTGACTTTTTCATTTTACAGAATAATAAAGTGAGGCCCAGTAATTTCCCCAACAGTGCACAACTAAGTGTAGGAGGGAAAATCAAGAGGTCAGAGAAGGGGGAGGGTTGCTTAAGGGAGCCAGCAAAAATTATTTGGGACCAGAGGTGACCAGCAGAGTTAGGATATGGAAAAATCTGGCTTTTAACTATTGGGAAGTTAGCTGAATCAGGATCAGAGCTGAGAAATTCAGGGCTCCTCCCATTGTACTAGTCAACAGTCACATCAATCAATCAACATTGATGAAGCACCTACTATGAGCCAGGTACTGTGCCAAGTGCTGTTAATTAATTAATTAGTTAATTAGCTACGCTGGGTGGTGCCATAGTGCATAGAGCACTGAGCTTAGGATCAAGAAGACTCATTTTCATGAGTTAAAATCTGGCTTCAGACACTTATTAGCTCTGTAACCCTAGGCAAGTATGTTTGCCTCAGTTTTCTCCTCTATAAAATGAGCTGGAGAAGGAAATGGCAAACCACTCCAGTATCTTTGCCAAGAAAACCCCAAATGGGGTCACAAAGAGTCAGACATAACTGAAAAATGACTGAATAACTGGACATATCAGATACTGTGTTAATAACCAGGCTAATAAAGAAAGGCAAAAATGGCCCCTGTCCTCAAGGGGCTCACATTCAAATAAGGGAGACAACGTGAAAATAACTAGTAGGTCCTAAGGATATATGGAGTAGATGATTGGCAATCTCATAGGGGAAGCCACTAACAGCTGGGGGCACTGAGAAAAGCCTTCTGAAGAAAGTGGCCTTTGAGCTGAGTCTTAAAGGAAGCTTCTCAGAGATTCTCAGTCAGAGATGAGAATGGAGAAGGGGGATGGAGTGTCATGTGATTAAGGAGGCCAGGGCAATGGGATTGGAGAGTACCTGGAAGAAAGGAAGGTGCGAGAAGACTGGAGAGGTAGGAGGGGGCCAGGTTATGATGAACTTTAAATGCCAAACAGTATTTTATATTTGATCCTGGAAATAATAAGAGAGCCACTGGAGTTCACTGGGAGTTGGGGAAATGTCGTCAGATCAGTGCCTTATGAAAATCACTTCGGCAGATAAATGGAGGATGAGTTGGAGTGGAGAGAGACTCAAGGCAGGCAGACCTCCCAGCAGCTATTGCAGTGGTCCAAGTGTGAGATGATGAGGGCCCACACCAAAGTGTTGGCCGTGTCAGAGGAGAGAAGGAGGGGGTGTATATATGTTTGTTGGGAAAGTAGATGTGATGAGATTTGACAGAATGGGATGAGTAAAAGGAAAGAGACAAGATGACAACAGAGTTGTAAGCCTAGGTGACTCGGAGCCCTTGAGAGTAATAGGGAAGCGTGGAAAGGGTTTGGGAAAAAGATAATGAGTTCCATTTGGGACATGTTGGGGACATCAAGATGTCCAAGAAGCAGTTGGTGATACAGAATTGGAGCTCTGGATGGATGCTAGGGCTAGATACATAGATCTGGGAATCATACATTGTGTTAGGGGTTACAAAGTGAGAGGGATTAGGGGGAGAAAAAGAGGGCCCCGAGTAGAACTTTGGGGGATACCCATGGTTAGGAGGAATGCTATGGATATAGAGACAGCAAAAGCCTGAGAAGGACCTTCCTTAGTTCACCTGATTAAAACCATTGTTTTTACTTCAGTGGAGAGGGAATGAGGTATAGCACTTAACATAGTACCTGGCACATAGTAGGTGCTTAATAAATATTTCTTGATGATTGATTGAGATAAGTTTTGGTAGGAAGAAATACCTCTATGGGAAAGGTCTAGACAGTGGTATCAAACTGAAATAGAAACTCATTCCTGCAGGCTGCATAGTGATTTAGAAAACCACAAGTTAACATCATCTATGTCCTGTGTATTTTTATTTTGTTAAACATTTCCCAATTACATTTTAATCTAGTCCTGGCCTTGTTAGGGAATTTTGTGGGCCTCCTGTGGCCTGCCGCCCACCAGTTTGATTCTTCTGGTCTTGAGCATGGAACACTGTCCAGGCCTTCAGTTTTCTCATCTGTAATATGAGGAGGTTGGGCCAGATCAGAGGTTCCTAGCCTTTTTGAGTGTCCTGGGCACCTTTGTCTGTCTGGTGAAGCTTGTGGACCCTTTCTCAGAGTTGTGTTTTTAAAAGAATAAAATAAAATACGTAACATTACAAAGGAAACCACCCATATTGAAAAATGGATACCAAAATATATAAAAAACCAAGTTTATGAAACCCAGGTTAAGAGCCCAGGACTAAATGATTTCTAAGGTCCCTGAGGACCATGAGGCTCATCCTTCTGATTTGGAACTGAAACTTCTTTTATGTAGAATGTGATCTCCTTGAGACCAAAAAGTCTTTTTGTGTCCTCAGTACTTTGCTTACAGTAGGCACTTAATAAATGCTCATTCATTCACTCATTCTCAAGTCTTATGATCCCAAGTCTCCAGGGTCCCAGTAGTTCCCCGTTCCTCTCAGGGAGGCCTGAGGTTCTGAGGGTTCAGAGGTCTTTGGTTCTGAGGTCACTGGGCTCCACAGTCAGGAAGCCAGGTCCTTTCCAGATCTACAATGTGATTTACCTATCAGAGTAATGAAAGGTTGGTGCCCTAATAGGAGGCAGGGAGAAGAACTGAACAGGGCTGAGGCTGAGAACAGTGTTGATGGCTATTAACTAGCCATGTGACTGTATTCAAATTACTTTTCTTCTCTGAGCCTCAGTTTTCTCCTCTGTAAAATGGGGATAATATTTGTACAGGCTTGTGTCTGGAAAAATCATGCAGTACTTTTAATGATGCCCCAAATTTCTTTATGAAAGAGATGTCCACTGGGGCAGCTAGGTGGTGCAGTAGATAGAGCAACGGCCCTGGATTCAGGAGGACCTGAGTTCAAATTTGACCTCAGACACATAACACTAGCTGTGTGACCCTGGGCAATTCACTTAACCCCATCGCCTAATCAAAAAAAAAAGAAAGAAAGAGAAGTCCATCACTCTCCTCCTGGTGATACGCTATAGCCACAAGTCATGGAATGCCACAATCTGAAGAATTGTGGGTTACTCAAAAAAGTAATGGAGAGGTGAAAGGTGGGCATGTGTGGGCTGTATCACATTACCAACAAAGATATGTCCAGAAGAAATTCTGTTGAAGATTATGGATTTAGAAAGTATCTCAGAGGCCATCTTATCCAAACCTTTATTTTACAAATAAGAAAACTGAGGCCCAGGGAGACCACAACGTGATTTACTCAAAGTCATACAGATACTAAGCATCAGAGGTATGGTTTGAACCCAGGTCTTCTGATCCCAAAGCCAGTATTCTTTCTACTGTCTTATGCTGTCCTCTAATAGAATCAGCTAGATACGTAACTAGAAGAGATAGGCCAGGTGTGTAGTTAATAGGATGGATGACCAGTGGGATATCTGCATTCTGAGCCAGTATTGACACCATGTCAAGAGATTCAGAGGAAGGCCCCTCCTTATTCCACCCACACTGCTCTCTCCAAAGTTACCAGTGATCTCTTCATTGCCAACTCCAATGGCCTTTTCTCCATCCTCGTTCTCCTTGACCTCTGTGGCCTTCGACACTGTGGATCCCACTCTCTTCCCTGATACTCTCTTCTCTCTAGCTTTTCAGGCTACCCCTCTCTCCTGGTTCTCCTCCTGCCTATTTCACTGGTTCTTCTCAGTCTCCTTTATTGGATCTTCTTCCAGATCACACTCTGTAGTCATAGTGTCCCTCAGAGTTCTGTCCTGGACCCTCTTCTCTTCTCTCTCTATTCTACTTCATTTAGAGAATCTTTGTGCTTGACCTGTGGTAGAGCATTCCAAGCTCATATTGGTCTGATCAGCCACGGTCGGATGCATTGTAACTTGACTCTAATATAGTGATGTCATTTTGGTCCTCTTGAAAATGAAGGACAACAACCACCCAACTTTACTTGGCTATATCATCAGCTCCCATGGATTTAATTACCAGCTCTATGTTGATGATTCTCAAATCTACCTGTCCTGCCCCAGTCTCTCTGCTGCCCTCCAGTCTGGCATCTCCAACTGCCTTTTAGACATCTCAGACTGGATGCCCAGTAGACATCTTAAACTCACTATGTCCAAAACTGGACTTATTATCTTTCTCCCTTCACTATCCCACACACCTACCTTCCCTGTTACTATAGAGGGCATCACCATCCTCCCAGTCCCTCAGGCTCATAACCTAGGAGTCATTCTGTATTTTTTGCTCTTTCACCCTCTCCCCTCCCCCCCAACCATATCCAATCTGTTGCCAAGGCCTATTGATTTCACCTTTGTAACATCCCTCAAATATGCCCCTTTCTCTCCTCTGACACTATTACCACTCTGGGGCAGGTCCTTATCACCTCACCCCTGGATTAATGCAACAGCCGCTGGTGGGTCTGCCTGCCTCAAGTCTTTCCCCTCTACTCCCTTACACCCATCAGATCAGCTAATATGTTGGAGGGATGTGGGAAAATTGGGACACTAATGCATTGTTGGTTGAGTTGTGAACTGATCCAACCATTCTGGAGAGCGTGGAACTATGGAATTATGCCCAAAAGGCTATAAAACTGCACATACCCTTTGAACCACCAATACCATTACTAAGTCTATACCCCAAAGAGACTTTTTTAAAAGGGAAAAGGATCTATTTGTACAAAAATATTTATAGCAGCTCTTTTTGTGGCAGCAAAGAATTGGAAATTGAGGAAATGCCAATTAATTGGGGAATAGTTGAACAAGTTGTGGTATATGATTGTAATAGAATATTATTGTGCTATAAGAAATGATGTGCAGGATAGTTTCAGAAAAAAACCTAGAAGGGCTTAAATGAACTGATACAGAATGAAATGAACAGAACCAAGAGATCATTGTACACAGTATAAAAGAAAGTGAAAAATAAAAGAAAGTGAAGAAGACACAGTTTAGAGTCTGAATGCAGATCGAAGCATACTCTTTTTCACTTTATTTTTCTGTGGGGTTTTTTTTTTATTTGTATTTTTTTTTCACAACATGACTAATATGGAAATATGTTTTGCATGATTGCACATGTATAATCTATATCCAATTTCTTGCCCTCTCAGGGAGGGGGAGAATTTGGAACTCAAATTTTTTTTTAATGTTAAAAATTGTTTTTACATGTAATGGGGGGAGGGAAATAAAATATTATTGAAAAGAAAAAAGTCTCTCCCTACTCCAGTCCATCCTCCATTCAGACACTAAAGTGATTTTCCTGAAAGGTAGGTTCAATCATGTTACCCCCCTACTCAGTAAACTCCAGTAGCTGCCTATCACCTCCAGGAGCAGATACAAAATGCTATCTGGCATTCAAAACCCTTTCTGACCCAGCCTCCTCCTACCTTTCCAGTCTTCTTATACCTTACTCCCCAATAAGTACTCTTCCATCCAGTGACACTGGCTTCCTGGCTATTTCACAAAGACATTCCATCTCTTAGCTCTGGGTATTTTCTCTGGTTTTCCCCCATGCCTGGAATGCTGTCTCTCTTCAGCCCTGACTCCTGACCTCCCTGACTTCCTTTTTTAAAATAAATTCATTATTCATTTATTTTAACATTCATTTTAATAAGATTTTGAGTTCCAAATTTTCTCCCTTCAGTCCTCCCCCACCCTTTAGAAGGCTAGCTATATATCAATTACACATGTGAAATCATGCAAAATATATTTCCATATTAGCCATGTTGCAAAAAAAAAGGGAGGGGGAAGAAAAATAAAGACAGTGAAAAAACTACGCTTCAATCTGCACTCAGAGTTCATCAGTTCTCTCTCTGGAAGTGGGTAGGATTTTTCATCATGAGTCCTTTTGGAATTTTTTTTGCATCATTGTATTGATCAGAATAGCAAAGTCTTTCACAGTTCATCATTGTTACAATATTGCTGTTACTGTGTACAATGTTCTTCTGCTCACTTCACTTTGCATCAGTTCATATAAGCTTGACTTCTTTTAAATCCCAACTAAAATCCCATCTTCTACTGAAAGTTATTCCCAATCTCTTAATTCTAATGGGGCAGCTAAGGTGGCCAAGTGGATAGAACACTGGGCCTGGAGTCAGGAAGGCTCATCTTCCTGAGTTCAAATCCGACCTCAGACACTTACTAGTTGTGTGATCCTGGTCAATTCATTTCACCCTATTTGCCTCAGTTTCCTCATCTGTAAAATGAGCTGGAAAGGGGCAGCTAGATGGCCCAGTGAATAGAGCACCGGCCCTGAAGTCAGGAGGACCTGAGTTCAAATCCGGCCTCAGACCAAACACTTACTAGTTGTGTGACCTTGGGCAAGTCACTTAACCCAGATTGCCTCACCAAAAAAAAAAAAAGAGCTGGAGAAAGAAATGGCAAATCATTCCAGAAAACCCCAAATGTGGTCATGAAGAGTCCAAAAAGACTGAATAATAAAAAATTCTACTGCTCTCCCTCTCTTAATTATTTCCTATTTATCCTGCATATATTTTATTTGTATATATTTGTTTGTTGTCTCCCCACTTAGATGGTGAGCTCCTTGAGAGCAGAAACTGTTTTTTGCCTCTTTTTGTATCCTCAGAGTTTAGCACTGTGCCTGGCATACAGTAAACATTTAATAAAAATATACTGACTGACCATAGACTAAGGAAACCACCACTCATCAGGGAGAAGCAATTCGACTATGGGCACAAAGGACATCCCTTTGTCCAATGAAGAACAACATTTTCTGGCATTTAAAATATATGTAGTTTAAAAGGTCACATTTAACATTTTCCCTTGTTGATTTTATAGCTCTGTTTTTAAGTGGGAGAGGGGAGGTCATGTTGTGGTATTGGCAAGATGAACTAGCAATACTGATGCCATTAATTAAAAGAAGGCTGTTGAATCAGACCACTAGGGGGCGCAGTGGATTGAGCACTGGACCTGGTGTTAGAAAGACCAGAGTTCAAATTTGTACTGGGATACTTACTATCTGTTTGATTTACTCTCTGCATGAATTAACTCACCTGTTAAATGGAGCTCATAATAGCACTTCCCGGGTTTGTTTGTTTGTAAAGCGCTTTGTAAACCTTAAAGCAATATATAAATGCTAACTATTAAAAATACACAGAAGGAAATAAAAATAAGTCAGACAATTTTAAAAGTAATATATAGAATTTATCATTTTCTTTTTTTTCCCCTCTAAAGTAAGCAGTATAGAATAGAAATTCAGTTTCATATACAATCCTCTTTATGGTCCATTTTTGTAACAATGAAAATAGTTGTCTTGGGGGGGGTGTTAAAATCGGAATTTTAAAAAATGAAAATAATTTTTATTATTTATTTACCAAAATGATAATGCTTATAGAAGGGGGAGAATTGACTCTTGTGGCCCCTCTAGTTTGTATTGTGCCCTAAGCAGCTGCCCACATGGCCTACTCCTGATTTTCTTTGTCCCAACTTCATTGTGACTCTAGAACACATAATATTTCTCCTCTGCTTCCTTCAAGGCAAATGGCCCTCCAGCCATTTCCTCATCTCCAGGAAATGATACCCTGAGAAGCTACAGCTGATTACCCAGTTCTCTCCCCTCATCAGCTCCAGCGAGGGAAAACAGAGATGTCAGTGGTCAGAATTCCACAAGCATCCCCAGAGACAACCACATGCAGGCAGAGTGTAATCAGTCTATGAATTCCAAATGCTAATTGAGGTGATTGCCTATTTCCTTTCCTTTCTTCCACCAGGAAATTTGCCCCTGTATGCAGCATTTGTGAGAAGCCAATCATCCCCAGAGACGGGAAGGATGCATTCAAAATTGAATGCATGGGACGGAATTTCCATGAAAATTGCTACAGGTGTGAGGTAGGTATGAGAGCTCTGAAACCTACAGGGTATGAAAATAAGGTTGCCCGTTCCTCCATTCATTATTCATTAAGTGCTCCTGGCAGGTGCCCAGGAAAGGCAGGAAGTTGGGGTTATTGGGTGGTCTCTGCCTTAGAATTGCACATTTAGACACGGAGGGGACTTTAGCAGTCCAAAGCTGCTCCATTTACATAGGAAGGACCTCAAGGTTCCAGAGAGGGAAATTTGACTCCCTGTTGTCCAGGAAATAAATGCCAGAATTAGGATTTGAACCCAGGTCCTGAGACTACAAAGTTACCATTCTACTGTATCACATGTGTTGTCTTCCTTGGGCTCCCAATCTAGTAAGGAGATAAGATACAAGCAGAGATCATTATAATTCTACTCAAGAGCCATTTCTTAAGTGGCTACTCTGTGTGAGGCATTATGTGCTCTCACTAGCTAAATATTTTCATATATATCTGTGTACATATGTGTATATGTGCATGTGTCTATACACATATGTGTATATATTGTGTATATACATACACATATGTGTGTTTGTGTGTGTATATATGTAGGTGTGTATATAGGCACACACCATATATAGTGGAGGAGTGGATAGAGCACTGGGCTTGGAATCAGAAAGACTCATTTTCATGAGTTCAGAAGTTCAAATCCAGCCTCAGACACTTACTAGCTGTATGGCACTGGGCAAGTCATTTAACCCTGTTTGCCTCAGTTTCATCATCAGCAAAAATGAGGTGAAAAAGGAAATGGCAAATCACTCCAGTATCTTTGTCAATAAAATCCCAAAATGGGGTCACGGAAAGTCAGATACGACTGAAAAACAACATTTATATAATATATGTGCATATATACAAACAAGATATATATTATATATACATATATACACATAATATTACATCTGGGTACATTAGAATGTGGGGTTTTTTTTAATGCCATGTGAGGGCCTGGGGGCAATATTGTTATAGGGGAGAGGGATTAGAGAAGGCTTCCTGAAGAAAGTGGGCTTTGATTTGGCCATTAAAGGATGGGTAGCAATTCAGCAGGCCAAGAGGAAAAAGGAGAGTGTGGCTGGCAAGGAAAACAGCAGGAGCAAAGGCTTGAGGCATTTGGGGGAAGGCTAGAAGTATTACAGTCTACTGGAGCAAGACAACTCCCCAGTAAGAATGTAAGGTGCTTGTGGACAAGAACTGTTTTGTTTTTGTCTTTGTATACCAAGTAACTAGAGCTAATGAACGTGGAATTAATGTTTATTGAATGTAAGGTTTTAGTGGGCTCCCCAGTAGTGGGTATCCACAGTGTCACATCCTCCTCTACTCTACAAGAGCACGCCCTTGTGAAATGGTGAACCCCAACTAGTTGTGTATGCTGTCTCTGGAGAGGCTAATGTTAGGTCACCCTATGGGCTGGGACAGTCATGGATGGGCAGGTAACATTCTCGAGTTTTGGATTCTCTCTCCTCTAGCAGGGACAGGTCAACACTCTTACTTAGAACCTCTCTGATCAGTCACCTGTATTTGCAAGGATGCTGGCTGGGGCTGGGATGGGATGAACCAGTCTATGTGGTTGCAGAATTTCTCTCTTTTTCAAAGCTAACACAATCAGGGTAATTCTGGAGCCCTGGGTTTGCTCCTCAGTGTAGTCTTTGAAGTAACTGTGAAGAAGAAAAGCAGGAAAAAAAATTAAAAAAAAAAGAAAAGAAAAGCAGAAGGAAGGGCTTCCTAAAAACTAGATTGAAAGCAAAATGTACTGCCTTGTAATGTAGTGAAATTCCTATTACTAGGGGCCAGATGTTTTAGATCAGGAAGGTATCTCAGAGGTCACTTAGCTGATATCCCTCATTTCACAAATAAGGAAAAGAGAGATTTGTCCCAGAAGCCTAGCTCAGAGCTGTAACTAGGAGCTTTGCCCATAGTTGAAGAAATTTAGACCCTGGGGTCTAAAGTTGATTTGAGTGTACACTGTGCTTGCCCCAGGGGCCAGAATGACTAGTTTTATGCCTTTGGTAGAGCTGGGCTTTGAACTCTGGGCTTCTGACTATAAGTTCTGTGTCTTAATAAATGCTTGTTGGATTGAATTGAGTCGTGATTCCAAGTGGTATTGTATCCTTAAGACCCAAAATGATATTACACTGTGGGAACACAAGAGGGTGCTCTAACTAACCAGGAATGGGACACTAATAAAAGTTCATTGCTATAATGGTGATTCTCATTTCTAAAGCACTTTAGAGTTTGCATCACGATGATTTGAAGGTAGTACAAAAGACAGGGCAATGGATTTGGAGTCTGAGGACCTGGGTACCTCTGCCATTAGCTACCTGTGTAGCATTATGGTGGCGTGCTGGTAAATGGCTTTTATCAACCGGCATAACATGTAATCTCCATTATTAACATTTCCCCCAAACACTTTCTTAAGTCTAGACAATCAACAAATGGAGCCCTGATTTGTAGCATTTGCCCATTTCTTAGGTGTAAATGTTCACACTGAAAATTTAACAATCATCTCTAGGAAAACCTGCAGGAGCCAACCTCCAGCATATTACCCAAGTGACTCAGTCTTTATGGTCCTTAATTTCCTTCTCTGTAAAATCAGAGGATTGGATTAGATGGCCTCTAATGTCCTGACCAGCTTTAAATCCTATTAATAAATTTTCCCCAGCTTCAACAACTCATGGAGACCACTAAGTCTGTGTGTGATCTTGGGCAAGGCTTTCTGGGATCTAGTAAAATAAGGAGTTAAACCAGAGGACCCTAAGGTCCCTTCTGTCTCTACAAGAATGATTCTATGAGGTTCATGGTGTGAGTCTTAAAATCTCCAGTTTACAGATGTGGAAACAGGCTTAGAAAGCCACAGTGATTTGCAAACAAATCTGACTAATGTGCTCGCTGATGAAAGCTACATGTTCAATCAGGAAATACTAGAAATCATGGCTTAGGGTTATTGTTTTGTTATCTTCTATTCTTAAGAAAGTGATATGGAAAATGTTAATAACTCAGATTAAATTTAAAAGTGTTTCCTAGGCATGTTTTTTTTTTTCCAGAGAGTCAATTATTAAACATTTACCAGTATACCACTGGTTGAATATATATTAATTTGGGAGTGAGGGAAGAAGGTTTATAGAATGGACCTTGGAGATCATTGTGTTTAATCTCTTCATTTTACTGAAGGGGAAACTGGGGCCCAGAGAGGTGAAATAATTTGCCAAAGGTCTCATAGCTAATAAACGTTAGTGACAAATAGGAAATGGGAAGGGATGCTTGAAACACCACTGGTTCTGGAGACTTGGGTTCAAATCCTGCTTCTGATACTCACTAACTAAGCAAGTCAACTCTCTACCTCTGAGCTTTAATGTCCTTGTCTACAAAATGAGGGTAATAATACCTTGTACATCGAATCCAACTGTTGGGAAGAAAGCACTCTGTTAACCTTAATGCCTCTCAGGAAGATGTGCTGTTATCATCTAGTAAGTATAAGCTTCTTGAGGGCAGCCCCTGCCTTTTTCATGTGTGTATATCCCCAGCATCTAGCCCAGAACCTTGCATGGAGTCGGTAACTACACTGATGCTTTGTAGAGTTGTTATTGGAAGGCTTTCCCAGGTTTGGCTGGTACCTTAGCTGGAATCCTTCTCTCTTTCAGGACTGCAGGATCCCACTGTCTGTTGAGCCCACAGACCAAGGCTGCTACCCACTAAATGATCGTCTCTTCTGCAAACCATGCCACGTCAAGCGCAGTGCGGCAGGATGTTGCTAAAGGTGCTATGTGGGCACCTGGCCCCAGTCTCAGAGAAATGAGCATTTGTGATGGCTCCTGCCCGGCAGCCCTTCCTATGTCTTTGATAACCTCAGTTTCCCTTCTTCACCTACTGTTGAAGAAGCTATCTTAAGCCCCTGGGAGATGCCCGCCTGCGGCAATACCAGAGATATCTGAAGAGAGTGATGGGAACTCCCCTCTGCTCTTCAACTTTTGTCTCCAGCTTGAGAAAAAGCAGCACGGTATCAGTGAATCATCAATAAAAATGTGTTAAGTGCCTGCTATGCCAGGAACTGTGCTAAGCACTGGGGATACAAAGAGAGGCAAAAGACAGGTCCTGCCCTTGAGGACTCACAATCTAATTGGAAGAATCCTGGACTTGGAGATCAGGGACCTGGGGTCAAACTCCAGCTCTGGCATTTAGCTATGTGACTATGGACAAATCCCTTCATCTCTCTGGCCCTTAGCGTCCTCGTCTGTCAAATGAAGGGTTTGGACAAAATTCTATCTAAAATCCCTCCTGGATCTAAAAAGAAAGAACTTCCCTCTTCCTCCAGGGTGATGCTGCTCAAGGCATGAGGAGGACCATGTATTCACATCCCCTGCAGATTTTTGTTCTATGCCTCCCTCCTCTCCTTCCCACCCTGGAGTGAGGGATAGCTTCTCCATGAGAGCTTGGTTGCCCCAATCAATTATGGAAGGAAGGAAGAGAAGAAGGGAAGGAGGGAAGGAGAGAGGGAGGAAGGAAAGAAGGGAGGGAGGGAAAGAGAAAGGAAAGAAGGAAGGGAGGGAGGGAGGGAAGGGGGGAAAAGAAAGGAAGGAGGGAGGGAGGGCACAGAAAGAGAAAGGAAGGAAAGAAAAGAGGAAGGAAGGAAGAGAAGGAGAGAGGGAAAGAGAAAGGAAGGAAAAAAGGAATGAAGGAAAGAGGAAGGGACAGAGGGAGGAGGGAAGGAAGGAAAAGAAAATTTATTAGGGGCACAGAGGAAAAAGTCTGGGAGTCAGGAGACTTGGGTTGAATTTTGCTTTTGCTGTTTAACTTGCTGTGTTAGCTTGGACAAGCCTTTTGCTTGTCTAGTGCCCACTTTCTTCATGTACAAAATAAGAATGTCGACTGGAAGCAATAGCCCATGATCTCATGACTCTGAAAGCCCCTGGTGTTTTGTGCTGTCATGGCTGGATAGCCTGAGCAATATCGTGCTTTCCCCTGGGGAAGCCCCCTCATCCTTGCCAGATACCACAAGGCAGAAAAGAGAAGGAGCCAGGAAAGCCAGAAGACCTTGAGCTCTTCACAGGTAATTGCAGGTGGGCAAGTCCCCCTCTCAACGTGGAGCCCCCAAGGCAGAGAGAGCCGACATTCCCCTGCTCTCCCCACAAGCCAGCCCCTTGGGGCAGGTGAGGGGGGCAGGTCGACTGCCAGGGGTGTCCTAGGGGAAAGGCTGGGGGTAGGGTGCTGCCCGTGATTCCCCTCCTGCTTCCTCCAGACTTGTGGATCTTTTTCTCAACCCCTTCCATTCCTCACGCTCCTCTGAGAGATTCCTGAAGGACCCAGGCTATCTAAGCTCTAGCCTGACCCTCAGACCTTATGTTGATTCCTTCATTAGAGGTTAGATGGATGGATGACTTTTCTCACTCCTCTGCCACGGTCCCCGGAAACTCATTATTGGAAAACTTCATCATCTGACGAGATTCCTTTAGCCTTGGGCCTCCACCTCATCACTACCCCTCCGGTCCCATCGGAGGGTAGGGTCGTGAGCTCCATAGCCTCCACCGCACCTCACCCTACCCTTTACCCTTTTCCAGCTTCCTTTTGTACATTGTCTTTCCCTAGAGATTGTAAGCTCCTTGAGGACAGGGATGGTATTTTGGTCTTTCTTTGTATCCCCAAGAGTTTAGCACAATGCCTGGTACATAGTAAACTAAAATAAATGTTTATTGACTGATTGACTGATAGAGGGGCAGGGTTGTGGTGAGCTCTGCCATGAGTACCTAGCATTGACACTCTAAATGCCCTAGACTATGGACAAAGCTTATTTAGGGCCTAAAAATACTAGTTTGAGAGTCAGCAGCATCTAAGGAAATGAAAATAATAATAATAAGCCTCAAAATACCTATGGATTACTTCAGTGTAATCCAGAATTAATTACATTTAATTCAGCATAATTAAATTCAGTTCACCAATATTTATTACCTGTGTGACCTTGGGCAAAGCACCTCCTCTCCCTAGGCCTCCCTTTCCTCTGTAGAATTAGGGAGTTGGATTTGATGACCTCAGAGGCCCCTTCCAGGCTGAAATCTAGAATCCTCTGTGCCAGGCATTGTGACAGGCAAAAAATGGAAAATAGTTCCTGCTCTCAGGGAACTTACTTTCCCTTCCTGCCTTCTCAAATGTCCTCTCTGTCCTTGTTTTTCCATCAATCCTCCACAAAGGGTCTATCCAATTCACTGAAGGCCTTCCTTTGGCTCTCTGCTCACTTCTTGGATTCCAGGGCCATGTTGGGAGCTGTCCATCTGTCATCCTTCAGCCTCATTGATGTGACCACTATTTCCTGCCTACATGACTGGCCCAGTCCTTACAGTATGAATGAGGCATCCTTGGGATTTCCTTCTGAGAGACTGATTTTCTTCCCCCTGACATAAGGAAGACGGTCTGTCCAAATCCTGACAATGGCATGGGCTGACGTGATACAGCCGTACCCACAGTGCTTTTCAAGGGAAGGATAGTGCAGTTGGGCTCTGGAATAAAACTTGGACAATTTGGACAGAGCTGGGACACTTGTCTCCTGTACTGCTCAGCCTCCTAGCCCTGCCCCTTACTAGCCCTTTATCTGGGGTCCCCATATACTCACCTGTAAAATGATGTCATATTCCAAAGGGTGGTTGTGACGTGTACTTAAAGTGCTATTCAAATGTCAGTGATTATGCTTATGATTGTGGTTATTATTATTATTGTTACACCAAGGCCCATGTGCCCAGGGAGTTTGCCACATGCTAGAAAACTGGGGAACTCTGATGCTGTTTCATGCCCAGGCCTTCTGCCAATTTTGTCTCCACTGGGGTAGCAATGTGTAGTAGGGAGCCTGCTTACTACCTGAACAGAATTTAAAGGATCACAGGGTACGGTGGAAAGAGCACCAAGTCTTAAGACAGAGGACCTGGGTTCAATCCTGCCTCTGCTGATTAGTCAGTTAACAGTGCTTATTAAGACTCATTGTGTGCCCACCACAGTGCAGAGTGCTGGGGATACAAAGAAAGGCAAAAAACATAGTCCCTGCCCTCAATGAGCTTACATTCTTTGGAGGGGGGAGGGAGGAAGGACACAACATTGCAAATAGTTATGTATGCACAAAATATATACAATGCAGATGTGACTGACAATTATGCAGCCTCAATTTACCAGTAAAATGAAGAGAATTGGGCTGAGGAGCCTTGTAGCTCCAAATCTCTTCTGTGATGCTTGGGGTATCCCCCCCCCCCACTTACTCATCATTCAGGTTCCCACCTCTAAGCATTCATTCATTAGAACAAAATTGTAGTAAGTGACTCCTGCCTCGTTTGCAGGGCCCTGTCCTGGGCACTGAGGGAGATAGTAAAGGTGGCAATGGGGTTAAGATGCAAACTCACATAGCTCTGCTCCCTAACTACACAACAAACCCATCAGAGTGGGCCAGACCAAAGTGAGATCCCAGGGACCACATTCATTCCCAAAGAAGGGAAGGCTTTCTGGAGGAGGTGGCCCTTGGATTAGGTTTTCAAGGATGAGCAGGAACTGAAGAAGCAAAAGGCAGATGACTTTGACCTTTGCTGCAAAGTTGTCCGGTTTGGCCAGAGAGGGGCAGGGCTGGAAGGGAGGGAGGGCCTTGAATGCCAGGGACAGAAGTTCAGATTTTAACCAGTCAGGGATAAGGAGACACTAAAGGCTTGAGAAGCGCATTAAGAAAGCCCTCTGTAGTCCTTCTGATCTTGGAAGGCAGCCTGGTGGAAATGCTTTTGGCCCCACAGAGTAGAATTTTTTCATTTGCTTACAGCTTGCTATTTGTGTCTCGGTAAGAATCCCCAGTGACCTTTCTGCCCCAGGAATCCCAGCCCCAGGCAGCGCCTTCCTCCCTCTCTGAGAAAGTCGCTGTTTCTAGGGGACTTCCAGCTGGTGCTGGTGTGGAATGAGTTCAGTGTGGGCTGGCTGGTTTTCATTTTGCTTTTGGTTTTAAATAAAGTGGACTTTCCCTTTTTGGAATGAGTTCCCCAGAATCACATGCTCTGGCCAGAGAACCCAGTAAAGATGATTTGGATTCTCTGTGCCTGTGAAGTGTCTCCTTTCAACCTTAAATTCTGGGTCTGGGGATTAAGCCTCAGAAAGGGAGTTGGGCCAGCTCTCTTCAAAGAAGACCCAAAAAAAATGGTGAGTGTGTGTGCATTCTGGGGGTGGGTAGGTGGAGTTGGAGAGCTTGATTCAATTGGTTTTAGTACCAGCTGAAATCCCACCTTCTACTGGAAGCCTTTCTGATCCTCCTTAATGCAGGTGCCTCCCCTCGGTTATCTCTAATTGACTATGTACATATCTTGTTTGCATCTGGTCTCCCTTCCCAGAATGTGAGCTCCCTGAGGGCAAGGACCGATTTTTCTTTCTTTCTTTCTTTTTTTTTTTTTTTTTGTCTTACAGTTCTTAACATCCCCAAATCCCCATTGTTTAGCCCAAGATCTGGCACTTAGTAGGAGCTAAATAAATGTTTATTTACTCGACTTTCCGAGAATGTTCCTGCCTAATCCCTTCAAACTTTCCCTTTTGAAGCTATTTCCGGCTGGGCCATCATGGGACGTGTATCCTTTGGTGGGGTCACCAGGGGTCTACCCAAAGTCTGGTCCGGAGCTTTATATTGGCCAACCTCCCAGGGTGATTCAAAGGAAGGCCCTTAGTAAACCTTCACGCTCTATAAAAACATAAATTTTTATTACTACTGGTCCCCAAATTAAATTTTTATCAGTTTATCAAGGGGCACCAGGAGTCTCATTTCTAACTGGACCACCAATGTATTTGTTTACCATAGGAATATGGGAGTGTGGTGTGGCAGGAGCACTGAGTGTAAACTGGGGTAGAGGGGGGACAAGCTGGGATTGGAATCCTCCTGTGTAAGATGGGGAAATGCTTATCATCTACCTCCCAGGGTTGTTCTGTGCTTTGTTCCTCTTAAGAACTGTAGAAATCAAATTATTAGTAGTAGTCACATTGTAGTGGTGGTATTGGTAGGACTATTTCTACGAAGCCATACTAGTCTGACAAACTGACTTTTCTAGCAATATTTCTATTAATTAGTGAACTAAGAGGGTTTAGAACCCAAGCACCCTCTCCACCAGATGCCAGGGGGACAATGGCAAAAATTCATGACCCTATAGTGCTCTTTTTTCTCTATTCCTTATCAGTTGCTAAAAGTATATGACTCATCCTATCCACTATATGTGTGAATACTTTTTCTGCCAACTGGTGAGTGGATACTTCCTGACCTTGACCCCAAACTATGCTTGGGAGCCCCATTGCCCATTTGGTTGAATTCAACATTTATAAGGTGCCTGCTATATGCACAACAGTGTGATAGATAAGAAAGAGTTGGAGGGAAAGAGTGAGGCAGAGAATGGGAAAGGGAAGGAGAGAGGAAGAAGAAGGAGGAGGAGGAGAAGGGAGAGAGGCAGGGTAAAACTGGGAAAGGACATGGATAGGCAGTATATTTCAGTAGCCAAAGCTATGTCCTAGTGATAGGATTCTA